CCTAATGACACTAGCTACGCCGAGAGCGAGACATTGCCCAGCCTGGTACCATTGAACGCATTGTTGCAGCCACCGTGCTAATCCATCTAGCCAAGCGTCTTCCTGGCTTTCGCTGATCCACCACTTTACCAAGCAGGATCTCTTCCTCCTGATAACTAGTCCAAGACGCACGAGACAGTCTTGCCACTTTCCAAGGAGTGAAATTCTGGCTGTATTTCTTCCCACACAGATTCGTTTGTTCTTCTGTCAGTCAGTCCATAGTCTATTTAATGTCTCCCGCCAGCACCAGACCTCAGTTCTCCCCCGGTCTCCCTTCTGCGCTGTCCGGCTTTCACATGCACACATGGCAATGGAACACACTATGCCTTGGATCGGGTGCACCTTAGTCCACACACAGGGATACCTTTGCTTTTGGACCCTTTAAAAAGAGGCCTTTTTTAAGATACTGCAGGCCTAGGCTGAGAGCCAGGAGTCCTGGCCCATGGGGGCATGCCCTGGGGTAGGCTCATCCTACTGAGGCCTCAACCTCTTTTCCAAAGGTGGTCTTGATGATCCTTCTAAGGGCTCCCCTTGAACATCATTGTTTGCTAAACATGTAATGGCAAGAAAGTTTTACTACCTTGCTGTTAGATTGGCCCAAGGAGTGAAAAATCCTTGGCCGGGGAGCTCAGATGGGAAGTGCTGTCCAAAGGGGCATGCTTCCTCAAGTTCCAGGGTGAGTAGGAAGCCCAGGAGGAGCCCAGCCTCCTTTGGGAAATCCAGCATCGCCCCGGGTAGAGTTGAGAAGCACTTCCTTGCTTAGGTCATCGTGTTGTCTTCTGTGCCTACAACACTAAGTGGACCAACCTCTCCTGGCTGGTGGCCACGAGCCCATGTCTCTGAGGTCGCTCCCTCCCCAGAGTCCCTGGAGATGTGGTTGTATTGGTGAACCTTGTGCCTTCGCCACACCTCCCCCTCTTGTGGACCAAGTACTTCCTTGAACTGTCAGACTGGACTGAGACGCAGGTGTGACTACAACGAGAGCAGCCGCCAACCACCCCATGGCCCCAGAGCCAGGTTACAGGTGTCCTCTTCCCAAGAGAGCGCCTGGCATTACCCAGAGGTCTGCCAGCAGCTGCTGTTTTGCCTCTGACATCCTGGGACCCCCGGTGTGTCCGGTGGGCCACAAGGTTTTCAAAACCCGATCTCCAGGTCTTTCTAACATGTGGGGGGGCCAGCCTTCACAACCGAGTGGGCCCTAGGGGGTGGTTGTGTAATTGGGGGGTACATTTAAAAAAAACATGTAAGTGCTCACCTCTCCCATGGCGACCACAGCCAGAGTGAGAGAGTAATGTCTTCTCTGAGAGACTTATATAATCTCGGGCATGCAAGTCACAATAAGAATATAGAACAGGAAATGGTTGTATTAGAGGCATACACGTAACACGAGGGGGGACGAGCCAGGGGTATGCGCACAATGGGAAGGGGTGGTACCAGGGACATACATGTGACAGGGAGGTACATATGTGACAAGATGGGCGATTCTAGAGTCATGATGGCAGTCTGACCTTGGTGGTCACTGAGCTGGCTTGACCTTGGGTGTCGTTGAGCTCTTCCTCAGGGGAACAATCTAGGATGCTGATCAGAAGGGAGTGGGCCCTACTTCGGGGGAGCCGACAGTAGGGTCTGCTTACTCAGATGGCAGATCACCTTCAGGCAAGTACCTTTAAGTAGATACCTTCAAGCATGTATCGTAGCAACCACGTGCTTGCAAGCAGCACCTTACAATTAGCGTTATTATGGGGGGACCTTGTGGGGAATAGATTTTACGTAGGAGAATGTGACTGGGATTCATTTCCAACCCACGTATGGTCAGGCCTCCGTCCAGCAGAGCCTCAGTCTCCCAGACCCCTTAAAATACGAGCGTAGAAAATTTGTCTGAATTCACTCTCTTCCCGGTTCTCAGTTTCCCACACTACAGAGCCACTGGTGGGGCAGTGAGTGGGGTAGGGGTGGGGCGCTTGGAACCTACACATTTTGGGGTAAGAGCTGAGCACAAGCATCCTTTACACCACCCAGCGCCCAGGGATTCCCAATTACTGACCCATGTGTAGAAGTGATACATGAAAGGGCTTCAAAAAGTCTTGAAGAAAAATTACCTTATCTTTTAATTCCGTTTCTCCACAAGCTTTTTGAAGGCCAGGACTCTCAACTGGGTTGAACTACTAGGAAGACCACCTGTCCTGGTCTGTACACAGCCCAGTGATGAACGGCCACCCTTTCACTGTCAGAACTTTCTAATTTGAGAGGAAAAATTACACGGCCATCTTTCCTAAATGCCACGGAGAAACCAGCTGCCTTTGGGTTCAGCGGCAAGTAGAACATGGGGGAGATGGCTACTTTACACCCTGTGGGCCTCACAAGACTCAGGGCTGGTACTGTCAGCCTCAAACCAGCCGGCCACCCACCAGGATGGCTGCCCAGACTGCCGAATGGAGGCTGAGGGGTGGTCAGATGAGACCCTTGAAAAGTCCTCTTCTTTCAATGCTTTTAAATGACTA